TATTATATTATTATATTATATATTATATTCTTATATATATATATATATATATGTTTTTTTTTCATGTATATATATTTAAATGTAACAATTATTATCACATGCTATACGCATCAATGTGAATATATAATCAACCTAGAATTATACTTAAATGATTATATGAGAATTTTAAAATATGTGTTATTTTCACGTGCAAACCTATGTGCCAAAAGTCCAATTTATCACGCAAACAATAACATTAAATTCGCAAAAGATTCGAGAAATTTTGGAATAAACGAAATAACATTAAAATAATAAAATGTGGTACAATCTCCTACTTCTAATACTTTAGATACAATATTAATTTCATGGTTGAGAAATTTTTAAATGATTATAATATTAAAATGGTAAAATGATACAATCTGCTACATATTTCAATTATTTTCAAAATAACATTAAATTCGTAATCGAGATATTTTTAAATAAGATTCATATTAAAATGATAAAATAGTACATGACTGAAATAATAATCTTTTACGTGCTTACAATTCTTTAAGACAACATCTATCATGAGATCGAGGAATTCTTAAATAAGCAGAACATTAAATTAATAAAATTATACAATCTCCTACATACTATGTTTGTAATACTTTATAAGTAATATTGATACATTATTTACTAAAGATTCAAGTTTAGACCAAACATATGCTCAGATAACATATTGTAAACATAATTTGTTGAAATAATTAACATATCTACACGGCGGTATTCGTACTTTTCTTTTCTCTTGGTATTTAAAAATTTTTGTATACTTTCTTCTACATGTTTACGAATATTACAAAATTTAATGTAACATTATTTATTTTCGCACGACATACATTTGTTCGAATATTCGGTAATTTTGTCACAGCCCTTAAGTTATGATTTTTAATGACATGGACATTACGTTTGTTTCTTGCGCATTTATCAATTTATCCAAACATTTATTTTTTACATAATTCTTTAAAATCATTTCATAAAGTCATATAAAATGTAGATGTCCGAACTTTTCAAAAAGTATTTACACAAGCATTGTAAAAAGGACCTAAAGGAATATATATTTTGTACATGGATTTCGAAAAATACTGTTTTCTTATGCACAAAAAAGCAATACTTCTATGTCCAGCTGCAAAATACGTAGTTCTCCAGTTCCTTCTTAACATGGTCGTGTTAGTGATTTGCTAAGGATTCTGACGTCTACTTTTTTCATGAAAATACTGTACATAAAAATAATATTTTTATGTTGAATTGCAAAATATATAATCAAACGGTTCTTTTTTCAAATATTAAGTGACGTAGACATTGTATTTGTTTTAAGCTACAGATTGCGATTGGACAAAATTTACATAAACATTTGTAACATGTATTTCGGACAAGTACTAATTATCTGAGTTTTGTTGTTCTTATTATATATGTACTGAGTACGTCACTCAAAGATTCACTATACAAAAAATTTGTTATATTCATGAAATCGGTTTAGTTTTTGTAAATGTATAAACATAGTACTTTATTTTAAAGCATAATTTAAAGAATATTATGTTTTAAAAGAATAACTATAATTTATAAGTTTATAAATTTATAGGATTGTGTTAAATTGTAAATATATAAATATATATATATAAATTTATACATTTTATACAAAATTTATACATTTATAAACACACAACCGATATGCAACAAATAAGTCAAATTATACGCTAATGTCTTCATGTATTTCAAATCACTTAGATCAAAGTCAAGACTGTCGTTATCGCTGGTCATGAGATGCTACTTAAAAATGCCGCTACCATCATTTTTATTGTCAAATGTAGATAAATCTATACAAACATCTGTAATATATAAAAAACAAATATTAATTATTTGATTTTATCATATTTTGATTGAGTACACTACTAAAAGAATAAAATGTAATGATAAATATTACTAAACAATAGTAATTAATAACATATGATTAAAACTCACGATCGTTTTTCTTTTAACTTGCGTAGCTTGTCGACGGTCCAGCTTCATCGTGTGCTGTTCCTTGTTCCAAATCTTTTTGTTCTATTTGTTCTATCTTTTGTTCTTCTTGTTCTATTCTTTCCCATTTGTCTAGATGTAAAGATGACATGTGGTTTTTTAAATTATCCCAGTCATAATCAAGGTTTATATTTTCTTCACATATCGTACAATTCGCATAACTTCCATTTTGTCTCGCGTATTTAAATACCCAATGTTGAGAATAAGATTTTAGGTCTTGTGAACAACAATGATCAATTTTGACATTTTGTTGATGACATATCACGCATTCTATAATTTGACGCCTTTCTGTGTTATATGTGTACCTCAAACATTTCCAATTATTTGAAAAATTGTGGTCCTGCTGATCTTGTTTCCATTCTTCCGAATTGAAAATATTATAATGTGACTTGCGGATAGGGTTTCTCAAATGTCGCTGAAATTGTTCCATCTTGAAACATACTTCTTTGAATTTGCAAACTGTACATTCTGCTCGAAAATTCCCAGCATCTCTATAACATTTTTGCAACCAGCTGTTCTTTCCAGTTTGAAATGTCCAAAACATTTCGTTTCGTCTTATTCTATCGTAATCTTCTGAATGTTTATCTGACATATGTGTTTTTAAATGATTTATGGTAACAATAATGTACATACTTTCATTACAATTCGTACATTTCAGAAAATCTTCTTCTTCTTTTGCATATTTAAATACCCAATCGTCAAACTTACAGGATAGTTCTTGTGGAGAATGAGTTTTTGCGTGATTTTCCATTTGGTTATTTAGCAGAAATTGTCCACATATAATACATTGTATCTGCATTTTTTCTGCTCTTTGTTGTTTCGTATACCTAAAATATGGCCAGTGATTGTCAAGTGCCATAGTAGTGCATCGAAGAACTTCCGTTGCGTAAATAAATTTATGATTCTTTACATGATCTTTAAGAAAGGAAGCCGCGAAATATCCATATGTTTGTTTGCAAAATCGACATTTTGTTAGAAAATTTGCAGGCTTTGTATAACATTTACTCAAAAAATAGTGCTTTTCAATTAGATATTTCCACTGTTCTGTTAATTTTTTTGGCTCCTTATTATGCGTATCCATGTGCCTTTTGACTGTTACAACGTCTAAATATAATGGTACACTTTCATTTGCACACAGTTTACAATTAGCAGAAAAATCATTAACTTGGTCTTCAACTAAGTATTTCCAACGCCAATCACTTTTCTCTATTAACTGTCTTTTTTCTATATGCTCATTTGCGTGTTTCGATAATTCCTCGTATGGTGGAAAATCAGTTATGGATATATCACATAAAATACATATTATGGCACTTTCTGTTGTCAGCATAAAATATTCCCACTTGAAGTCGTTCTTGTCCTTGTTCTCTTCATGGTCATGAATATTCTGATGTATATCACTTAAGTGAATCTTAAAGTTATTCGAATAAATCGCATATCTAACAGTCGTTTGGCAAAATGGATCTCGACACTGTGCATGAAAATTTTTTTCTTTTGTAAAATATTCCGCTATCCACTTTTCCGAATAAAGTCGTCGTTCGTCCCAACTCATTGTGATCTGACTTGTATGATAGAACGTATTTAACTGAACATGATGCGAGCATTATTTTGTTGGAAAGTTCATGATAGGAGAAGTCGAGAAAAAAGACAGTTTTTCTGTTTCAATGTAAATATTAACAGCGTTCAAACCTACCTAACAGTTATCAAGAGAGGTGGTAGGATGTAATCCGAAATATGTATAGTAAGCAATTTCGAGAGAGAGAGAGCGAGAAAAAGAGAAAGAGAGAGAGAGAGAGAGAGAGGAGAGAGAAGAGAGAGAGAGAGAGAGAGAGAGGGGGGAGAGAGAGAGAAGCTCGGTTGTGCTGTATTTAATTATTGAAAGCTCGATACGTATATTGGAGACTTTAATGATCGCATGCGTTGCGCCAATGCGCCGCGAGTCACAATGATTGCGTTACGGAGGATTTCTTTATTGTTTTTAATTATAAAATCTCGGAACGAATTACTGCCTAAAAGAAATGTTGAACCAATCTCGGGCCGAAAGAGCGGTACGTTGTATATAACGAGGTGCGGAATATAATCTACGTTTAATGCAACTTATATCGTATATAATACATGCAAAGTTCCTCAGCATTATTTCCCGAGTGAAATGGTATACACGTTGTTACAATTATCAATATTGATTTCTCCACATCCGCTGGTGAGAAGCCGTAACGAGTTACGTTGCACAATTTCTCTCGGACATAAGTAACCGAGTGCGATCTATGTTTGTAGGAGCATAATAATCAGCTGGAAATAACAAATGACGATGTGCACGTGAAGGCAATCTAGTGCAACGCGATTACCGCTACCTGACTTTAATTAGGCGGGGACCAGCCGGGGAGAACCAGATATCCTTCGGCAATCATCTCGGAGGTGTCCCGGGACGCCAGTCACGAGCGTTTACGTAAAAGATTCTGGCCGTGAGATCGCGGCCGTGCTCCGCTGGCGGTGAAACAATGCGCCGTTAATTCGCGAATTAATTCGCCATCGCGAACAGTTATGAACAACGGCCGGTCGGCCGTTCTCGAGTTCAGCCGTTAATCGATCGCGTGAGAGTCAGTCTGCGCGACGACGACTAACGATTGGTGTCCGGTCATTTAATGACGTAGCACGCACGCGGAAGAACGGCCGGCATCGTTTAATCGCCGCTTTTCCATGACGTTACAGCCGATCTGCCATTTTATATTTAGTTAGCGGAGATTCCAATTAGCTTTCCTTCTCCGTCGCGCGCCTTATAAGAAGACGCAGGACAGGTATGTACCGTATATATGGCAGTATCTACCGACGGCGAGGAGCAAAGGCGCTGACCTTCGGAAGGTCATCCGTCTCGCGGCGATGTACGATATGCTTCCGTGTACCGTCCGTGGTAGCGAGAGACCCCGTGACGCGCTCAGTAAGGAATATTGACCCTGTGCGGCGAATTAAATCGTTATTGCATAAGGAAGCGCGACGGATGAGCCGATAGAAATAATTAGCCGGCCGCGCCAATTTAAAAATCATTACCGCGCGATGGCTGTATTAACTCTCTCGTAAATCGGTCCCCGCGATCTCTCATCGTCGATACGCGAGCAGAGCTAATGGCGACGCGATATATTTACCTTCAGAAGAATCACGGTCGTAAATTGAGATCATCGCTGTCAATTATTTATTCGTGGCGTCGAGTTTATGCGAGGAGAAAATGATAGTCATGCATCAGCTAAGTATAAGATGGGCCGCGCCAAAGAACCGATCGCGATATCGCCCGATGAAATTCAAAATATCTGTGACGTGTGTGTGGCACGTAGATATTCCTCCCGACCTTTGCCCCGGGCCGGCATAGAGTGAAAAGATATTAATGACGCCCCGAGAAAGACAATGAGGCGCTCGGTACCTCGTCGCTGTAATCAGCGTTCGTCGAGTCAATAATCATTTCGCGACAGAACGACAATTACGAAGACAATGACACTCGCGCGTTTCTCCTTTAAACACAGACATTAATATACCCGCGTTCCGAGCTAATTATTGGATGCCTCGGCACGCAGCTAGCTATGTGAAAGTATTTGCTAACGAAGCGTAAAGGAGCTCGTCCAGTGATCATATCAGTTGCTTTTGCACTTCATTTTTTTTATTTTTAAATAATTGCAATGCAGTGAATTGCAACAAGTATACAAAATATAATAAACTCGAGTCTTAAAAACCTGTTAAAATTAAATAAGCACATTTAGCAAAATTAAATTCCGAGTTTAAGTTTTTATCGCGTTGAATCTTTCACTCATATTTCATTCATAAAATGATTGATAATTCTAAATAGTTGAGATACATATTTCTCTTCAAGAAAGTAGACCATTTACTGAATAACAGAACTGAGATTTTTTACTTGTCAAAAACATATATTTTCTCAAAGTTCGCTAACGAATTGAGTTCGTTTGCAAACAACTTTATGAGAAAATAAATTCGAGTAAAGGAGGACGTCATCCGCCGAGATGGCACACAAAAAGCTAGTTTCGAACGAAATAAAGGTCAGGCGCGACACACTTATTCGGATACTGTTACAAAAACTACGGTAGCAAAAAAAGTTTAGGTTTTTGATTCGCGACGGCGATCATTGTTACGCAATTCGCCGCGTAGCGGTCCATCTCGCGGATTCGCGGAAAGTGGCACGCCATCTGCTCGGTGAACATATGGCGAACATAACGTAAGTCATTTAAGTCGACGAGTCCTACCTCGATACCTATAATAACTCGGTATTAACTGTTATGCGCGTCTTTGTAATTGCCGACTGTCTTCGATGTCCGGCAACGGGAGAGGATACTGCGCCGGGATGCAGCGTTGCACCGCGCGAGAAATTCAGCGCGGTGAAAAGTCGCGCCCGCGACTATGATCTTGGCATTTCAGTTTGTGGGTTCACGAAGGATACGAGTTACACCGTTACCGCGGCACGGGTATCTCAAATTCAACGTGAAATTTCAAATTACGGGGTACCAACGCATAGTAATTGGTTACACACGATGCATAATACGCAACCATTAATTACGCGGGCAAACATTGCGTTCGTGATTTGTTTGCCAATCGGACCGGATAAATTTGGTATTGACTTTTCCGAGCCAAAAATTTGACGGGAAAACTAAAAACAACTAATGGGAACTAAAAATCTAGATCTAGATCATTTAAGAATTCAAGAATCTTACGATCTAAGCCTGTAAAGAACATATCAAGAAATCAATATAAAGAAATTATACTATTATTAAAACGTTTTAAATCTGATGTACCTCAAAAATTCATAAATATAAAAAAAGTAACTGTGTAGATTATTTTATATAGAGATTCTAAGCGCAATATTAAAATTACCACTTCATTACGGATTCTTAGTGCGTAGATTTCACAAGACGCAAAACATCGGAAAATTGCGCGGAACCGGAAGCTAATCGAGCTAATCGAGAAAAAAGATCGCGAAATCGCGGAAGGAAAGGAAGAAAAGACTTGGCGACTCAAGTAGAGAGATTCTCGAGAGCACGCGAGCCTGCGCGATACAGTTTATTTGAACTGGGGATCCCGAAGAGGGGAGACACGCTTGGCGTTAGCACTCCACCGCGTCTCTGTGGCTTGCTTTAGTCGCGCGATCTCGTCCGGAGCGTCGGGACGCTTCTCCTCGCAGTTACGTCTCGACCGATCGATCCGGCATTCGATCGATGGATCGATCGTGCCGTGTATATCCCTCGCGAAGAGTCATGCACTCCACCGGAAATTTCCGTCGACCGGGATAGCGAAAATCACACGCGACAATCTAATCGTGCGTTCGAGTTGCGTTCGAGGAGATTCAACGGGTGATTTTTACTTTTATCGTTTTCAACTTTGTCAATAATATTTCTCACATCTTCATGAAAATATGAATTCCTTACACCGCAGTCTCGGACAAATCTCGATACCTGTATCGATCTTATTTGCATACGCGAGTGAGATGGATGCTATGTTTGAATAGACGCTTTTGATGGATAGCGACCGAGCCTCGTTAAGTTCAGATAATCAACGAGGTGAGTGATAAGATGATTACAGTGAATATATAAAATCGAATCTATAAAAAACTCGAGTATCATGTTCATGAAAATCATGAAAATTTATGCAACATCAGAATGAAGTATCGTGACATTTGAAATGGATTTTGTTAATGATAGTCGTTATATTTTTCGTTCATGTTTTCAGACATGCAATAACAAAGTAGATATTTCTAACAAAATAATAGATGATACAATGTGATATTATAAGTATAATTTTTTTAAAAAGATTATATATGCATATACTGTTATTAATTTTTATTTTAAAACCTAGAATTTAGTTTACATAGAATCATCAGTATACTTGTTATGTCTTGCAAATATGCTAAATATTAATAACTATTGATCATTTTCAATATTCGATTCAAACAGTTTCTGCTGCGCAAAAGGCTTACAGAAAGTTCTTATTTTTTACTCGAGTTAAAAGCTGTAATTAAAAAACCGTTATTTAGTTCCTGGTGCTTAATTAATTATCGTATCGTTAGAAAGTTGCGCGCAATGCAGAAACTTTCATAAGCTCGATTAAAATCGCTGCCAGGATTACGTGTTTGGCGGCACGATAGGTCTTCTGTAGGGAAAATTACGTCAGGGACGTCTACAACAACGCTGCATGGAAAATACAAAACATTTGCAGCTTAGAATAGCCGCTAATAGGCGAATTGCTAAATCTACACTTTCACTTCGCACTATTATGCACTCAAATACAATGAGTATTTTTAATTTAAAATTTGCGTGAATGCGCTTTAATTACTCGATATCGAGAATCCTCGCAGTTCGTTTCTCGCTAGTTTTGCGTCAATGCACAATACGTTTAACAAAACGGACGCTTTGACACTTGACATTTGTCACATGTGACGAATGTCATCCTTAAACCGTGGACAATAATGGGGGATTGAGCTTACGGAGAGTGAAATCGAAACAGCTTGAAAAGAAACCGCTCCGTCACAGTCGCTTGAAGTCGCAAAGTTTCTTTCAGTTAGCTTTGGTCGAACCGTAATTAGCCGTTATAAACGTCTGCATGCACCGACAGAGGGGGGGAACTACGCGATTTCTGAAAAAGATCGCGCGTACGAACGGAATAGCAAGTATTCACTCGCGTACAAGGCGCATACTAACTCGGTGGGATCCGTAAGCAAACAATCGACACAAAGGACATGGAAAAACGGAGGTTTATTAAGATGCGCGCGCCTTATAGTCGGCCGTCGCGATAATTCATGATATCTTCGTCACGGTCGCTTTAGTCACAGGTAATTAAAACTCCATTACATGGCGATTACAGAAGTTTCGCGGTCGAAACATTCTGTCGCGCACAACGAGGAGTCCCCGAGGAAGAAGTCGCGAGTTGGCGAAAAAGAAAAACTTTCCCGTCTCATGTCTATTTATGACCGGAACCGCGGATAACGCTCGGAGTCCCCGCGCATCATATCTTACATATGTGGAATATTAATTCTCGTCATTCGTATGCGATGTACGCAATATCGCCGCGAACGCGTGGAATGTCACAGGTGCAAGTCACCCAAGAAAGTGCATTATGAACTGCGTGCGACAGCGCGTGCATAAATAAATTATATTCCACATCGCTGTCGGAGCTGCTAACAGACACAAATCATCGTTCCTAATTACGTGAAAATCTTGGGACCGAAAGGTGAATCGGATTAGAGACAAAACTCGTAGCCCCGAGAAAGTATATGAGGATTAAGAATAAAAGCAACGACTTTTTGACGATCGGAAGAATCAATTGATAAAATAATTTCACTTAACACCGATAGAGATGATAGAGATATCGCTGAGAAAGTGATATTATTAATTGATAGTTGCATCAACATGCAATAGCATTTTATAATTAACCGTTTTCACTGATGCATTTTCCCTGTCTTCTCTTGCTACCGCGATTTCTGCGGTTGCAAACTTCAAAGGCGAAAGGCGACATTTCGCAAGTAGCAGAGCGTACCGCTTTACCATTCCGCCCACGTTTCCCCGCGACACAGAGCCAGCGGCTCATCTGAAAGACAAACACCGGTGGCGACACACTGGTATGCCACGGGAGATAATCATCGTCATAAATTCATCATCATCACCATCATCCTCGAAGTGCCCGAAGCGTAATCACTCATTAGCTCACGCGGTTCGCCGCTGGCGCATCACTGTCAAGGCTGTCATGCCTCACGGAATGACGAATTCCATCGGGGGTGGTTGAGGCAATAGCGGAATAGAAAAAGAGGGGAAAGAAAGAGGAATGCACTTTGTATTCCGAGATTGCTGGGTGCATATCATTATATACAAGCAGGAAACAGCAGCTAGTTACTCGTGTTGTTGCAAGAAACGCTCTTTGCTCGCGCTACATTAATTTCTTTTTCACAGCACTATAAATCATCTTAAATTATGCGAAGAAAAGGTTCTCTCTAAGTGATTAAAAAATTTCTCTTTAGACAATAGAAGTGAGAAAATTATTTGTTTTAATTTATAGAATTATCCGAGGGATTTGAGATTAGTCTAAATAAGTAATTTGTGCAATAATTCATTCTTGCATAGTATTTCATGTTTTTCATCGAGCATGCGAATGGCGTCATTAATCTAATCAGTTCGAGACATTTTTAGAAACAGAAATTTCAATGCGGAACCGTGAAACGTATATCGCGCGGACTGGAGAAACGTAAAAAGACGTAAGGTGCAAAGTATTGTGAGAAACTGTGCTGCGATGTCGTCGACTGGTGAATTTTCAACATTATCAAGCGGCGAAGCCACCGGAACCGGCGAGGACTCGTTGCCGAGCTCGCGAGAGGCGACCGCCGAGGCCGCGGGTTCCGGCGGCGGTTTCATGCCGCTGCGCGAGTTCCTGGACAGATTCTCACTGCCGAGGGTGGTCAGGGTCGAAGGTGCCGGTGGAAGGCCGATACTGTTGTACAAGCAACAGCAAAGATCTCTCAGAGTCACGGCTACGCTGTTGATGCATCGTTACCGTCACGATGTCAAAGTCGGACCGGAAATAGTCATCCCGGAAGGCTACCCTGGTGAGTACAACTTCAGATACTACGCTGTATATTTACTTGTACCTTCGTGTCTACTTTCGCAAGCGAATTTAATAAGAGATAAAACTTGGTTGCAATTTCTCTTTCGGTAAACATTAAATTTTCGCCGAAACTGTATTTTTAATAAAAATTGACAAAAAAAGAGAAATATTATTTTTATTAATCATAAATTTTTTAAAAGGTAAATTTTAATTTATTTACAAAGGTATCGTAAAAACTTTGCCAATTTTGTATATTTTTAAAATAGATTATTAAAAGACAACGAATTTGATACACATATGAGAAATTGTGGTTAATGAATGGTTAATCGTACGAAGACGATATATGGAATTAACTATCGTCGCATTCCGGCCTTTGACTCGACGTATCGATCATGTTGTACAATGATTGATAATGTTCGCGGAATTGTATCAGAAACCTGATCTGGAATTAAAACGATTGCGGCATGTTGCATAAGAACATATGTGCACGTAGTGTTACAATCGATAGATTAAATGGAAAGGGATTTCTTCGCGACTGTTGTAAAGGATCTAAACGCTCATTTCATTCTAACCAAACCTAAAAAAATCTATTATTTATTACACTGTTCGTTTAATGCTAGCTAATTTATTTATGGCGTCTACTTCGATATGCCGATCGGAAAATAACGATTAATTGAAAAATGGTATTTTCTATTACTCATTTTGCGACTCGGACATCGTTCACAATATCTTCGAGATTTCCTGGAAGATTGAGGAGGCGAACTATACATACGCGCGTTTGTTCGTTTATTTATCCACGCCTAGCCGTGTACATATGTAACCAGGTTGTAGTAGGCACAGTGGTGATTTAACCTAAGCTCGTAGAAAGAAAGTAACAGATGGTTGTGGGTGGCAGTGGCGGTTTAACAATGAAACCAAGTTTGTGCGTGGCAGAAAACGACATAAACTGCATTCGAGTTTGATCAATAGCAACATTAATAAAAAAATCCTGATATAAAATAGAAAATAATATTACGGTAAAATAACTTTCTTTCTTCCCAAAGATATATCAAGAAAATAGAGAATTAATTTATGAATAGTATTGAATATTTTTTGCAGATTAATAATCTCAACTAAATAGAAAACTTCAATTATTAGAATAATTATATTAATATTACATTCGTTAATATCTGCTTTTAATATTGCCAGAAACTCGAATATTACGCTCGATACGAAATGTAATGAGAACGTGGCATCGTGATATAGCAAGGACCATTCGTCGGGTATTACTCAACGCGCAAGAACACGGCCTCGCGTAATCTGCATAGGAACGTTTCAATTTTCTCGGCGCGGCGTATCCACACACGTCGTTGCATCTGCCACACCGGCAACGATTTCTCACGCCCGTAATCGCGCTCGCGAGCATGTTAACGTGCTCTCTCGGCGCCGGTTCATAGCTCTCACTGGCAAGAAGTAGGAACGAACGAGCGCAGCGAGCGTCGGCCTATAAATAGTGAAGGAAAGTATGAGGTAACGCGGTAGAGCGTGCCGCGAATTATAATTTAATATCGTCCCGGTTCGTGATACTCCGAGTACGAGAAGTGTCTGCGGTGCAGAAAATGGTGAACGTGCGAATCTCGCGACGATTCCTTCATGTATCAAACAGGCAAGCGAAATAAACGGCGGAAAAAAAATCTAATCCCGGTTCGTGAAAGGAGAAAGAAAATTAGTGGAAAATGCGCAATTGAAGAGATGGATAGTACTATTATCCAGTTACGACGGGCGCGGGTAGGTGGTCAGTGACATACGGCCGTGAATAATACCCCGTGCGTTATTAGCATAACGCCTGATGATACTTTTCCAATGAAGCTCTATGAATTACAAATGCTCAGGTCGACGTGGGACGAAATTACGTCGATGAATGCACTGAAGATTCGCTTGATCGTGCAATATTTCATAAAAACGAATCTAACAATAAGCAGAGACGTTAAATGCCACAAGATGTATTAAGTAGTACCGTTGTACATTCAATTAGTCATCATTATTTTAATAGTTGTAATATTTGTCAGTAATCAATTCTCGCTGATGGATCTTGTCTTATATTTCTATTTGAATTGGAAAATTTTGGACATTTTTTCGAATTTTTGTTAATCATGCGTGTTCGGTCACAATCGTTCGCTAACGAAGTCCACCCTTAATCTCGATGCAACTTTGTGCGTTGCACGCACCGAGCCATCTTACGATTCATGTCAAGGTGTTGGTCAATACGTTGGGCGGATTAATCGCTAGGCGACCATGAATGCGAGAGCGCTTGATCGTACGCGGATTACACGAAAGTATAATCAGTTGCATGAGAGTGATTTTTCTCGAGGGCTAAACATGCAGGTTGAATTTGCAGCCTGTAAGGTATTACCTGCTGGAAGAGCAAGGTTTCTTTGTACAGATTCAACTTGTTGCTGTTTTATTTTTCATTAAAGCAATCCCAACGCGTCACTTGTCATCTATGTCGTATAAATATTTATTCTTATATGTTTATATATACGATATTATATTATGCGCAACGGCATGCAATAATGATCGATTTCCACGGTTCCTTTTACGTTGACCTTTTCCTAGCGTTTCTCTTGATCGCACGTTGTTTCTGGCACATTAAGCTCTGTATCGTTTCGTATCGCGAAAAAATGATTCCGCCGTCACTGTTAATCGATAATGAATGTTTACGCATGGGAAAGGTTTGATATAGGCAGCGCGCGCTGGAAGCCGAAGGGATTATACGTCTAATCTCGCGCCACCGGCTTTAAGTTCAACATCGCGCGCTTCCTTCATTCGTTGAGCCATCATTTTGTTATTATTGAAATTTACACAAGCGGGATAGAAGAAGAGGAGTCGCGTGATGTTGCCGCAACATCTGGTATTACTTGGCGCAACTTTATTAGCGCTTTTCGAGGAGAGGATTTCCGCGAGGTGAGCCGCGCCACGACTGAACTCTTTTGACCCTTTGCTTAGGATCGTTTTCTTTCACGTCGTGCCGGATCGAGTTGTCTATCAGCTGCTCATAGACTTGACTTTATGCGCTCGCAGTCCGTTCGAGTCGCTCGACTCGGAAAGGGGAAAAGGGACGTATCTTTATAGCTGCGCAAATACGTCGTGAAAGCGCGCTCGTGACTTCGCCGAGACGTGGGAGTGCTGTGCATCGTAAAAAATGTTGAAATCAGGCACAGTTCCGGTGGTGACCCGAGCGAAATTACGACGATTTCATCGACCAAATTCACAATATAATGTTGTATCTCTCTTGTAGAAATTTCAATCGATTTTCTCTTTCTTTCGATCGCCGCCAACGTCAGATCTGCGAAATTGCTTCATCGTTGGACAATCTCAATATTTTAACGTACAATTTTGTTTTATTATCTCGATAATTAATTCCGGCAGTAAAAGTGAACGTACTTCGACGAAAAACTTGGATGCTTTTCTTTTTCTAATTTTAAATTGCGTGATGGTAATCGCATGAATCGCGCACGTAACCTTTTCTAAAAAAATTTTCTAAAACTTTCTCTCTAAAAACATACTAATTTATCAATACAATAATATAAATGCATTCTTTTAATAATTTCTCATGCACTGCGCCTTTTTCTACAGATCTTCATCAGGTGATGTTACGTTTGAATGCTTTAGCGAGACTTAACGAGTTTACGCAGCTCGAAGCTATTCTCGCATGATAATTAAACGCGTCCCGATAAGTAATAAAGAACGACATGCCCCATCGCCAATCGCTAGACGCCAGAAATAGTCCAACAGCACTCTCGGTTGGAGATCATTCGTCATCACCGGCGATTACACGCAGCCTCGAGCGCGACTTAAGTCACTCGGAGTGTCGGAGTTCAGTAGTGGGTGAAGAGGAACGCTGAATGTTAAACGTTGTCGGGCGGAAGTGGCGGCCGCGCTCTCAGCCTTCTCTATGCATAACCCGTTGATTTACGGTCAGAAATACGCTGCGCGCGCGAACGCTCCGCGCGGGCACACGGAGAATCTTGGATCCGTTCTTGTATTCGCGCTTCTTCCTCACCTACACCCGAACGCCTCCGGATTTGCATAAATCTCGGAAACGTGAGGAAGGCGCGAAATCGAAAGCTCAGCCCGCCGGTGTTAACCGCGAGGAAACGTATTTCCGTGTCTTTTACGATCGCGAATTGCGCTGAGAGAATTCTTCCCGGCGCGAAGACGAGCATCGCGGTGACGAAAAAGGTTGCGAGGAAGTCGCTAGAAGGAAGACTGTCGACTAGCGTAGGTGGCGTGGTTTTATGGCGGGTAAAATCCAAGTCATTCCCAATTTTATTTCTATTACATATATAGAGACATACACATAATGATCGTTTAGTGCCGTTATATCGCGAAGCTTATGTTCGAAATCCGCGACATAAAAATAATCTATATTCAAATATAAGCATATAGCGAATATTCCAACGGTAAAGGTAATTAATTGTTGCCGAGTCTATAAACTCGCCACTTGAAATCTTGTCGGGTACAAGTGCTCGGTGCTGAATGTGGCTGAACACGCATGCGGCGAGAGTAATCGCGGATTTTTATCAATTAGCGTATTTTACGGATAGCGAGGAGGCACGAGCTTCCGCGATTCCGAGGTATCGCGATGGGGATTATAGTCGCTGCGGAAAAATTTGCAGCGCATTAATTGTGGTTTACCTACGTCTCGCATTAGTGTCTTTTGATAACCATCCCACGGCTATCGAGAGAAGCTTTTACAGTCTCCACATGGATGATATGCAAAACTAAAACTAATCACGTACAGTACTATTTGTATTGTTAAATCCAAGAGAACTCGCGAGACTTACAATTAGAAGTTTACTCGAAAAAGAATACGCTATAAGAAATGCAAAAGATATAAATTGTGCAATTCCATTTTTTACTCTTTCGACTTCTAAACTTAATTGTGGAGAATTTTTTTACAACGGTATTTCCTCATTTACTGACACAATAATATGCATTCAGTTGACCATCGTTATCACC